ATGCGAGAAAATAATTTTGAAAGATAGTATTTATCGATATGACTGCGAAAAAATTTAGAAAAATTGTTTTCCCTGATAGCAATGGACCGAGGGAATCTTGTTGACTCACCCTGTACACGTACTTTTTTTCAATATTTTTCAAATGTCGTATTTTACTTCATTTTCATTTCGAAAATCTCAATAGAAAATGATATTGAATCCTATATCGAGGAGAGATACGTACTAGAAAATAAATATTTCAAAATGAAATTTCTTAATATTTATCTTCCCCAACTACCTTCACTGTAGGTTCTGATAAATGCCTGTCAGAAAACAATCACTTTCAGGCTATTGAATTATACCCAAGAGACATTTATGCAAAATACCTCAAAGAGGTTAGTCTCGTAGATGTTTCTCGTTCATCCAGTAGCAGGACCGATTTCGAAGTTCTCAGCGAAGTGCCTGGGACTCGAGTAATTTCAGCGTGACTCAACTGAATGTATGAAACCTCCGTCTAAGAGAGATATTGTTAACTAGTTACAGCTCCATCTCGTGAAGAAAGACCCAAGCGAGAAAAAAACATCCCATGTACCAATATTCTAACGGAGATCAAACCGTTTCTGAAGACTATATCGAGGAGAAATACATACGTAGGTACTAGAAAATGAATATTTCAAAATGAAATTTCGAAATATTCATCTCTCCCAACTACCTATACCATAGGTTCTAGTAAATACCTACTGGAAAACAACTACTTTCTCGGCTAATACTACGCTGAGCATTGAACCATGCTGGAATCGTTCGAGTGGATCATCCAAAAATCGGTTTCGAAGTATTACCTCTCCATGTATACGAGTTAGTTTTGTGCTTTGAAATGCGGTAATGAAGTATTTGGCTTTGCTACAAAGCTGATGTTATAATTTTTTGTCATTATTGAGTATAATTCCGATGTATGTTCTAGGTATCCTACAAAATTTTAACCGAATACATATTGCTGACGATATTACTAGAAGAACTTGAAGACGATTCCAGAAATCCCATAACGGATATGATAAACTGGTCCCCTCTTTATTTATCTACACATTTGCTTAGGTTACTAGATAAAATCATTCCAAAGCTGATAGCCGAAAAACAACCGAATTATTTCTTCAGGAAATCCAATTTATTAGTGAATCCAGGACATCTTTCTGATGACGACTTCACCATCGAAGCGAACAATGTGAAATCTGTTATGATGCGCCTGTTTGATGAATCTTTAACTTCCACAAACGGTAAGAGAGTCGTGGTAAGCATGCTGTTTACCTATATATGTTTATATCAAATGAAACTCTGTGGATAAAATTTCGGAATTTTTCACTTTAAACTAGCAAAGTNAATCATACATGTTTCGCTAAAACATTAGCTTTTTCAAATGATTAAATTTGAAATCATTTGAAAAAGCTAATGTTTTAGCGAAACATGTATGATTATTTTCAATAAAGTTAGTGGAGATCAAATCGTTTAAGTGTAGTTTGAGAAAGTGTTTACGTTCTAGTGAGAGGAAAGTGTTCCCAATAGATTCATACGAGAAATGAAAACTAACATATATTATGAAATTATTTGCTTAGCAATTTGCATCTCACTTTACCAGATATCATCTAATTGAATGAATTCTGCGCTCATCATCAGTAAACCGTTTGGTCCTGAAAGATTCCCCAATAAACTTGGACCAATGTTGTGTATGTAGACATTGTAGACTCTCTAATTCGTCCCGAAAAAGAGTTTTTGCTTCATGATTAGTGACATGGAAGTTCAGGAAATGTTTTAAATTATTGTATTCTCAAATATTCGATCCATATTGATGATCGCTTGAACCTCAGTTGTTTATGGAATGCTGTTTTTATTGTTTAAAATATAGGTAATCATTATTCAATTCATTCACTTGAAAATATATTTTTACATTTATTTATTTCTTGTGTTTTATAACACATTGAAAACAATTGATTGTTAAATTTGTTGTATTTTGGATAAAAATTGTTTTTCACCATTATGTGAATCACTTGCTTTGATGAAAAGTTGTAGGCAGTTTATACATTCTTTGAAATGTTGGACAGTAAATTTTTAGTAAACTCTCAAAATATATACTATAATTTCTGTGAAATACGAATAAAACATCAAATACTTTGACTTGTTATTTGGTGAAAATCAATAACACTATATATTCATGAATTTTTTGCAAGGAAAAGTAAAGTTGAAGAAGGCCTTTTCTGGTGAAAAAAATTATTCTGGTGGCATACCACAAGGAAGTATTTCAGGACTTCTGTTATTCATATGTATAAATTTATTTGCGGATCATACCTGGTTATTCTACTACTCCAGAGCTGCCTGACTTGGCCGTTTCTACCAAGTCGCCGTAAAACACTGTAGCCTAATGGGCTCATTCTGTTTTTCTTCCATATTTTTCATGACACCCATTCCAATAATATTGTGCTCTATACTAGTTTTGTATAAGTCCCTTGCTGAATGCAAGATTGTCCATTAATCGATTCGGGCTCCGTTGTACAACCCTATTTTATTCAGGTGTGCTCTCGATGAACAATGTCTGATGAGTTGAACTATAATTGATCTCTGCTTTGTTGAAGCAGTTTTTCAGTTATTTTCTCTGACGGTCCCTTTATGAAGGTTTTTCCATGTACTTTCACTAGTATCTTTTCTCAGTACTCTCAATGTTTCTTATAAACCCGCTTTCCGATCTGGTTCTGTACCAAAATCTATGGTACTTCCACAGCTGGCTCTGGGCCTATATATAGAGTGTCTGGCACACTTACCAGTTTTTTCGATGTGTCCTGACACCCAGTATATAATCAATTTATTCCTTTCCGCCAGATTCGTCAGTTCTTCGCAGCATTTCCAGACCAGTCGCGATGTCACTTTCAGGTTCGTCAGTGCCTCAAGTGCAACTTGGCTGTCTGTGAGAATGTTAATCCATCCATTTATTTGAGGCTTTGAGTTAATATATCTTAGATCGTAAGATTATATACACTTAAGCCTGGAAGACTGANCAGTAGGATTTCTGACTGGCCACTGTCAGCTAAGGAAACACCTACATAATATGGGGCTAGTGGACACACCTCTATGCAGGATGTGTGAACAGGAAGATGAGACTGTCAGGCATGTCCTGTGCGAGTGCCCGGAGTTATCGTCAATAAGAGAGTGTGTGTTCGGCGAGTCCTGGAAAGGACAGGATGGACGATGACCTAGGAGGACAACTCCTCGGGAGGATGTACAATGGGTATCATGTGGCCTGAGTGCGTGGGCTTACACTCACCGTCCCTACTCTACAGATACAGAACATAATTATATCCTTAACCTACGAAATGAAATAAAGGGCGAAGTTCATCGTCTGTAATGCAATGCATCACAGAAAATGTTTTTCCACTTAACCCTTATCACTTAATTATCCTTATTTATGGTATAAATAAGGATAATTATTGTAAGAATATTTAGTTTAATCTTCCTCTGGAAGATGATCACTTGGTGATCGAAACACGTGTCAAGGTGTTTAATAACGGTTTGGTGTTAGGAAAAAACTCCAGTAATATTAATTACTACACCAAAGGTGCCAAACAGTGCATCACAAGTAAAATATTTTCAACAATGCGGTTTCGCCAGTTCTATTAGAAAGTAGTAGCAACTTTGATTTTTCACATGGAACACCCTTTATATAATATCATTCACTATTACAGTTTTTGAAATATGGAATAATTTCATTTTTTTCCTTCGGAAATTATGACCTCTGATAATGCAGATATCTTTGAGCTAAGGAACATTGTGGAACCAAAATTTGGTTTGAAGTTAGGTGAAGCTTGGAGGTAGCCAGTCGATTCGACGTGGGTGCTTTGTTCACTCACTCGAATTGACTGCCTTATTGGTCGGTGGTTCAAGATCTAGTCTGAACGATCGATTTTCACTTGCTATCATCCAACCCGCGTTATGAATCACACCTTAAAAGGTAAAAGGACCTCGTTAATCCTTAGTTTACGCAAGTTTCGACTTCTGAGGGTTGTCGTTCGTAGGGGTGCGACAGCTGGTTAACGGAAAACAGATTTTAAACAGATTTTTTTAAACAGATTCCACACTTCAGCGTAATCTCCGTTACTTCAATACAGGGTGTTAAAAAAAATACACCCTGTGAAAAATTGTCTGAAAGTCACTTTTTCAGCCAAACGAACATTCCAAATGAAACACCATTATCACAAATTCAGGAAGCTGTAGAAATTTACTTCCCATCTGTGTATATCATGCGTATACCTAACTNTCTCAGAGAGATATTGTTAACTAGCTACTGCTCCATCTCGTGAACAAAGACCCAAGCGGGGAAGAAACATCCCATGTACCAATATTCTAACGGAGATCAAACCGTTTCAGAAGACTATATCGAGGAGAAATACATACGTAGGTACTAGAAAATGAATATTTCAAAATGAAATTTCGAAATATTCATGTCTCCCAACTACCTATACCGTAGGTTCTAGTAAATACCTACTGAAAAACAACTACTTCCCCGGCTAATACTACGTTGAGTATTGAACCATGCTGGAATCGTTCGAGTGGATCATCTACAAATCGGTTTCGAGGTATTACCTCTCCATGTATAAGAGTTAGTTTTGTGCTTTGAAATGCAGTAATGAAGTATTTGGCTTTGCTACAAAGCTGATGTTATAATTTTTTGTCATTATTGAGTATAATTTCGATGTATGTTCTAGGTATCCTACAAAATTTTAACCGAATACATATTGCTGACGATATTACTAGAAGAACTTGAAGACGATTCCAGAAATCCCATAACGGATATGATAAACTGGTCCCCTCTTTATTTATCTACACATTTGCTTAGGTTACTAGATAAAATCATTCCAAAGCTGATAGCCGAAAAACAACCGAATTATTTCTTCAGGAAATCCAATTTATTAGTGAATCCAGGACATCTTTCTGATGACGACTTCACCATCGAAGCGAACAATGTGAAATCTGTTATGATGCGCCTGTTTGATGAATCTTTAACTTCCACAAACGGTAAGAGAGTCGTGGTAAGCATGCTGTTTACCTATATATGTTTATATCAAATGAAACTCTGTGGATAAAATTTCGGAATTTTTCACTTTAAACTAGCAAAGTGAGCTTTATTTAACATAAAGGATGTTGCGGTTTCGGAAATGAAAAACATACAGTGTTTAAAAGTCAAATGGAATAAATTCATTATTTCTGTTACTGTACATATTTAAAAAAAGTCCCGAAAGACGTCGAATGTAAATTATAATTTGACATTCTTCAACGTAAAAATGCCGCCCCTACCCTCAGCCCCCTTCGAATGACAGGTACAACCCCAATTTTTTTTAATGGAAAGTATAGGCTTGTGATATATCATTTGAAAAGTCTCTTCATTCTTCATTCAAGATGTTATCGCTTTCAAGTTTATTTCAACAATTAATTTAAAATAAATTAAAATCATGTGGTTACCGAAATTCAGTAGAATACTCAATCCACCGATTGGGAAATGTTGTATCCAGGTATTGCCGGACATTACCTTGGTAATGGGGTGGTGCTCCATCCTGCTGAAATCATATCGTATCCACTGGAACATAAGAGGTTTCCTGGATCAGGATATAAATTTGCTAACCTTGGAATGACATTATTTTGAAGTAGCGCCAAAAAATTATCGCCATTCAAGTTGCCGTCATTGAAAAAGGGACCATTAATATGGTTGACGCCTATCAGTTATTTTCTGATTGGCGTCAGTACATTCAACCTACTGTGTAGGTATATTCGAGTCTGGCTTGAACGTTTGAAGTTCATTTCTTTACCAGTCTTCAAGCATATCCTAGTGACCAATAAGAAAATAAAATCAATTATACAATTATTGATGCAACTAATTTTCCTTTATTTTGAGTATTTCAATATTAAATTCTACAAAAAGGATTTGAAGCTTTGTATCTTCTGCTGACGTTTCGTTTTGCAGTGTTTCGGGAAGGAGATTAAATACTTTTTGTGCTAAATATTGATAGCATTTTTGGCTTATTGATTCCGTAGCGAAAGGTACTGAATAATCATTTTTTTGTCTCGTAGTACCTATAGATATAAGAAGGTTTAAGAACATTGGTCTTATTGAAGAACTTCCTTGTAGCGATCTGGTAAAAGAATATTTGTCTGATATCAAAAATCTCAGACTCTTCATAGAGAATACACTCACGTATCTGTTGTTTTTGAACAGTATCATTTTTAGGAATCGTTTTTGCGTTACTTCAAGAAGCTTTAAATAGGTTTCAGAAACCATTCTCCATCTGACTATTCCATATTTTAGGTGTGATTCTATCAAACTTTGGTAAAGAATTTTGAGCTGTCTGGTTTCCAATATGTCTGCTATTCTCCTGAATCTATATAGAATAAGTCGTAGTTTTTTTACTAGATAATTTTTATGTAAGTTTCATTTGAAGTGCTTATCAATTATTATACCAAGATACTCAGTTTTGTCTGTTGACTTAAAGGTGAAGTTATTACCGATACAAACTTGATTGAAGTGCGGTGAATAAGTTTTATTGCTGCTGAAAAGTAGATAAATGGTTTTTCCGAAATTAATTGACAGCATTCTATAATTCAGTCATTTTATTATCTTCAGAAAGTTATTTTCGATTTTATGTTTCAAATCCTGCCAAGTGTCACTTTCATAGAACATGTCAGTGTCGTCCGCAAAACATATTATTTCAAATTCAGCTCCTGTGATGAATAGATTGTTCAGGTAAAAAGTACCTTGTGGTACTCATTGGTAATCATTTGTTCCTGGCTAATATGATTTTGAATTCGCACTTCTTGTTTTCACCCAGTTAAATATGATTTCATAAGATTGTATACTGTACCTTTCATACCCATATCCTATAAGGTTTGCAATAGAATGGAGTGATCAACAGTATCGAAGGCTTTTGACAAATCTACGGATACTTCGATGGAAGGTTTTTTCAAGTCTATAGCCTTGTATATTCGAACTGTTTGTTTTTTTTATAGGATCCTTAGTTGATTTTCCTTCTATGAATCCCATTAGTGAACCAGACAAAATGACGCTATCATACACCAAAATCTTTCTTATTCAACTCTGATGGAAATGTGTTCAAATACATTGATATATAAATTCGAAAATGAGAAAAAAAGTGCTGAAATTACCGAAACCGTCTTTAGGAAGAGAAATTATGCTTGTTGATGAAAACTACAAACACATAATTGGAGATGAAAATACAGACCCTCGACAAAATGTTGGAAGCCTTTGAAGAATACCAATGTAGGTCTCCAATAATTGTGGAGAACATCGAAGGAATTGAATTTCAGCCAAGAAAAACGAAACAGTAAATCGATCCCAATCGAAATTATCTGCTGGAGAATATAAACAAAATATAATTTTACCTTACGAAAACCAAGTATCAATATTCCGTAAGAAGGTAATTGATTTCGCTATTGAACCGGAAATTTCCAGATACCTCAACAAATTTTGAAATGTCAATGAAAAATTGCTCACATTATGGAGCAACACCCTCGAGTACACCCTGATGTCGCCCAGAAAAGAGCCATCCACCTGACTGAAGATCTTAACATCACAGGCAACCTCAACAGTAAGATTCATTCACGGAAAGTGATGAGTTTATTCTGAATTCAATTGCTTTCTTTCTTCTTTGGAAGTATCCTACAATTTTGTAGGATAGGGACTTTGAATAGGAATTTGAAGAATAAACCCTCTGGCCTCTGAAACCATCTTTCCTATTCAGTAAAACGCCACTTTTGCACAGGTATCACTTTCAGGGTAACATTTTGTTCTGTTATCACAATTGCAGCCGAATACTGCTACTATTACCTCTATTATATCACAAGTAGAAGCTGCAGGAAAATAGAAAACCAGTTCTTCATTCTGGACTCACAGATAACGCCCTCATAGTATGTTACTGGTGTGAACTATACAAATTAACACAAAATATTTGATAGTTTTACGCCTCTTCAAAAAAGTTGTGAAATAATGTCAAATTTAGTTTATTGTAATGGTTATATGAAGAAATATAGCCATATACTATTTTATTTGTAGAGTTTTGTAAAGATTCAAAATATATAAACTGAACTAAACAATTTTTCACTCAAGTTCCAGCTTTTGAAAGTATTCTTTATCGATTTTCTGCACAAACTCGATCAATTCTGGATATTTCTCAACTATGAGTCTCAGTATATTATTCGGTAGGTCTACTGTTAGAATGGCAAAAAGATGTCCAAAAACTAAAGCATCCAGTTGCGTAGGCTTACTTCCGAAAAAATATGGTCCTTGATCGAATCGAACATTGAGAGCTTCACAACAATTTTCAACATCTAAACAGACATCCTCTATGCTCTTTTGGTACCATTCCATTGCTTTGAGTTTCTTCTTCACCATGCTTTTTTTCAACCTAGAAATATTCACAACAGATTTTTTTCAAGCAGGCAAAAATATTCACTACATTGGCTTATTAAAAGGAAACCTAAACTAGAGCGGTATAATTTTAAAATACTTCGTTTCAGTTGCTGACTTGTCAGAAAAATATCTGACAAATCAGAAAAGAATTCGAGGATGTTTTGGAACAATTCCAAAAGTTCAAGAAATTGATAGTGTCACTATTTTCATTCGGCTTTGAAGTGGTAAGATAGAGGTCAGTCGCGAACACCATCGACTTTCTGCGAAACAGTTATCCCAGTGCCGAAATTTCCATATTCGTTGACTTAAATGTCCACAATATCGAATGGCTCAAATTTTCAAATATCAACGACGAACAAGATTTCGAAACTGAGCCTTTTGCAATAAGCAGCGGCCTTACTTGGATTATAAATGAGCCAACCAGGATTCCTGACCGTGATGGAGAATATGCTATTCTTCTGGATCTATACCTAACAACCAATCTAGAAATTTAGACAGTCACCGTAAGGTTTCCATTGGGATCTTCTGACTACGAACTCATTTCAGTGTTGATTGAATCACCGATGAATGTTGGGAACAATCTAAGACGCACATCACAGATCAGATGAATGAAGGATCTTCAGGACCATTTGCCATGGCTAGATGTTTGTTTCAGCTCTAATATCCATCAACGTGTGCTTCTGAAGTCACGGAAGTTATTCTATCATCCATATATGCATATATTCTTCTTTCAATGAAATTACCTTCTAAGGCAAACCTTGGTTCAACAAAAACTGCGAGCAAGCTGTCGCCTCCAAAAAACTCGCCTACCGGCAGTGGCGCAAAAATCCCAGTGCCGAAAGCCGAACTAGGTTTGTTGTTGCTTGCAACAGCTGCGAACTTAAGATAAATGAAAACAAAGAACTTCATAATCAGAGAATTATAGATAAACTGCTTCCCAATCCCAATGGGTCTAGATCCTTCTAGCCGGTAGCTTAGGCTGTCAATCAGAAATTTACAAAATCCACGATTCCACCACTAATACAAGCGGATGGTTCAGATGCAACAACAGCCATAGAAAGAGCAAATCTACTAGCTGAATAATTTGCGTCCCACTCCATAATCAATTTTCTGGGAGAAGCAGCACCCACTATTCCCACACTATAATCCGCAATGCCGGAAATTACTTTTTGACAGTGTCTGGTCAGGCGAATTTTGAAACAGCTTAATATCAACAAGGCGTCTGGCCATGATGAAGTATCCGTCATCGTACCCACAAAGTGCGAAAAAGAACTCGCACCAGTACTTTGCAGACTTGTCAACCTGTATTACAAAAAGGGTTTGTTTCTTCTTGTTGAAAGATTGCTCGAGTTCAGCCTATTCCCAAAAAGGACAAAAAAAATCTTCCAAATAATCATAGACCAGTCGCTTTGCTATCAGTGAATTCAAAAATCAAGGAAAAACTCGTAAATGGCCATAACCTCAAATATTTAGAAGGCTTTCGTGGTCGGAGAGAGTCAAAAAGTGAGTTTTTTTTTAAATAAAGTCAATTTTGAATACATATTGGAGCGAAAGATATTTTGAGTGGATTGGTGGCACCCTAATAGACAAATTTTGTGTTTTTATAAAAAAGAAAGTGAATGAGAAAACTTGAGGTGGTAGCATTGCCTAGAGCAAAACAGCTGTACCCTCGGATGGAGCGTCTGTTTACTATGGACAGGAGAAGTATGATCAATTGCGCTCTACTGAGAAGCAACAGCCATATAAATTGAAGAAGAAGAAGAAGCTAACTTCAGCAAATCGTAAAAATTTACTCTCATCATTTTCATCTGAAGCGCCAAATGAAGTATACATTCAAAAATTGTGAAAACTCTTTACAAAGATGTGTAGGTGATCAGGGTAATTGTCTTCATCTACAAACAGCGAGAAAGCTCTTCCAAAAAAGAAATGAGGGTAAATTCCATATGAAGGAAAAAACAATCAAGATCGGAAAAAGTAGCGGATATGGCAACCTCAAGGATTTTCGTGAAAATTTGACAGACGATTTTTCTGCGGAAATGCTTGAAAGATAGTTTTTTTTTCAAATGCTCAACGGTGGTCGGTAGAAATACACAAACACAAGCAATTATTTGCTCACAAAAATTATTTGCTCACAAATATACAAAAAATAATAAAAATTATTGCTCATTTGAATGATTTGAATTGAATCAAACTATACATTTCATAAAGATTTGTAGATCATGCATAGAAGTTACTTTCAGATACAAATTGAAAGACAAATCCGTACTGAGAACTCATCTCTCCAGAAAATATACCCCTCTCGATTTAAATGAGTCCTATCATTCCCAAAACACGGCTGACCAACGATAATCGCGCTGTACCCTGTATACTCATGGAGTTAGTATGTCATAAACCTCCCACACAATAATCTACCAGATCAAAAAATATTCTCATTGCCTATAATTCATCTCTATTCTAGCAACGTTCACTTACCTATTCTGAATATGATTCAATGGCCAAGAATACATGATTCCATTTCTCACAGTAGTTACTGCGTTATAATTTTTCTCATCAAACCAGCATACATAGAGTTCCGCTAATTCGATAACGTTGGTTAACAGTGACATATAAGCTCTCATATTTGCCTTTTGGTCCATATCCAAATGATCTGTGAGTGAAATCCCCCTTCCGTTGACGAAGGAAACAATGTTTTCAAGTTCGGCTATCACATATCTGCCAGATTTGATAAAAGGTAGCTTGAGAGATGGTGACATAGCCTCTGCATTGGATCTTTGCTCTATGTCGTAGTCCAAATCGCACATCCTCAGGAAAGCCTCCACTGCGAGGCAGTTTGCTAATTCAGGCAGTATCATCTGTCTATCTTTGTGCGACTGAAATAGAACAGTGTCTATTTGCCACGCATCTTGGGAAACTCCAGAGAAAGATGGGGTTTTATCCACAGTTTCGTTGGTTATAGAAAAATCCAGGACCATCTCACCAACACCTTTGAGCCCAATAGAGGCTCTGGTTTCTATTTCGACGTCCATGGAGGAGTTCTCTTCGGAATGGGCCGTCTCATTTTTTCTGGTGATTACCATATTCAAATTGCAATACTTTAGATTTTGAGAAAAAGCTTATTTTCGTTTTAATGTCTGACATTCATGACATGAGTTAGATTTGAGATGACAGTACACACAAAGTGACAGTGTTCCAACTTGATTAATCTTGGGGAGAGTTCCTATACATCGGAACCACCAAAAGACTCATGACAGTAAGGCTGAAGGAGCAAGAAATAAATTGCAGATTGGGTCGAACGGACAAGTCGGCTGTGTCGGAACATGCACTCAGTGGAGGAAATCACCGGATTCTTTTTGAAAACACAAAATTCATTGCTCCCAACCAGGGATATCGTAGCCGACTGTTATGGGAGGCTGATAATCCGAACAGAAAAGAAGAAGTTGTGATCCTTAACCGAATAAGGAATCCCATCCTAAGGAGTTCAAGAATAGCAAACAGCATGACGGAAGATAGAAAACGGTCGACGAATGTTATTGACAATTTACATTATCCAGGTACAGTATCAGCACACCAAACTACCGAAGTCAACATGAATACGTCTTACGCAGCCGTAATATCCAGTCATCGAAGAATACTTAGGATGTATAAACCTCTGAAGAAGGTAATCACTCACGCCAGCGAAACGTCAGGAAGGAGTTCCAAAAATTGACGGCCTTCCAACCCGAAAAATTGTGATGCTGATGAGTATAATAATTTGGACTACCAATAAAAGCAGAGCTGCCCAGGAAGCAATCAACCATGAAAGAGCGAAAATAATGAAAGTGTCAAAGAAATATCAATATTGTAAGAGATATATTAAATGTGATTCTTAAGGTCCCACAACGAATCACTTTTTATTCTTCACTTCATAGAATCCCAAATTCTAGACGCAGTCTGTGAAAAAGGTAATATCATTATCCATGAAAAATCATCCCAATGAACGAAATTGAGACCGAAGTTTGGGAAATTAGTCTAGCCAAGTTTTTTGATGAGTTTGTAAATCTATCAGATACTGAATTTACAGAAGTCTTGATTCGGCAAATTTGGCAAGTATGAAAGTTTCATTAGTTCCGACTTCCATTGTCTAATATGATTCCATTGTGATTAGAAATCTATGAAAGAACGAATAAAATTGGAATGAATAGCCAAAATATCAATTATATTATTCAACAAAAGCTGATATACAAATACAATAAAACGAATGGAATAATCAAGATACAGAAGTTACTTCACGGCGCGGCGTTCCGATTGTTAGTATCCAGAATCGTGTTTGGTTGATGACTGGGTTAATTCGTGACAGCCATCTTGATTTCGGACAGGTTGGAGCCTGCACCCTTACCCTTTTGAGTGATACTTGTCAGAGGGTCGCATGGGTCGTGACTGATGGAGGTGATGATGGGATGGCAGCATGAGTGTCCTCAGACATCAGTGCACCCTTCGCGGTGTGCCCCTACTTGGCTGGGGTGGGATGGGTGAAAAAATTGTTCATCTTTTAACAGGGGACATAAGGGCCCCATTCGACAGAGTGTCGGGGCCTTTTATATCGGGAGGGGTCATCTACAGTATAATCCATAGCTTCCCTAACTAATGGGTTTTCATGAGTTTCTGCGCGATCAAAAACTCGCTGATTCCTCGACTGAATGAACTGCCGAATGGAAGGTGGCAGCAAAACTCTGCAGATGGCTTCATTCTGCACGAACAAAGGGCATTCACAATTATCCTTATTAACTTATTTTGCAATCTCTCCAGAGTGGAGATATTATGTGTAGACGCTTGTCCCCTGACGCCTGAAGCATACATGATGACAGGCTTGAACAGCGTTTTGTAGATGGTAATTTTGTTTTTGAGACTCATTTTAGATTTCGTGTTGATCAGAGGGTACAGACTGACTATCTGACCCTCAATCTTCGTTTTAACGCACATGATGTGCGGGTTCCAAGTGAGCCTACGGTCTATTAGAAGACCGGGGTACTTTACCCGCGCTTGCCAGTCAATCTCCCTTCCCGAGATTCTCACTTTTCTGGCCGTAGAAGATTTTAATTTTCCCATGGTTATCGCCTGAGTCTTGTACGGGTTCACTCGGATCTTCCAATCGAGGTACCAGCACTCGAGGTCGTCCAATGCACGTTGCATGTAGACGACGCCGAGCTCTCGGCCCATGGAAGATGAGTGGAGAACCGTGTCATCGGCGTATAGGGATATGTTCACACGCTCAGTCCTCGGCAGATCACTGGTGTGAAGTGCGTACAGCGTCGGAGAGAGCACGGCCCCCTGTGGCACTCCAGCGAGGATATCTCTGTTGTCAGACAGGGAGCCCTCTACTCTAACCTAAAATGTTCTGTCTTTCAGAAAAGGCCCATTCCACCGAATCAGGCCCCGAGGCAGGTCGAACGCGATTGATTTGTGCAGAAGACCTCCGTGTCATACACGGTCGAAGACCTTCGAGATGTCTAATAGTACAATGTGCACTTTTTTATTAGTGTTCAACTCGTGGATGATGTTTTCGACCAGCCTTAGAGCCACTGGGTTATTTCTCCGAAGGATGACTATTTAAAGGTCATTCGGGCGTTTTCACATATCACATCTTTCTCCCTCCGATTCGCCGGTTTAGCGGGAGTTGACCGATTTCCGCTTGATTACAGGTTTCCACATGTTGCGTATCTCTACATTAGCTCCGATAAATGCGTCATTGGACAACATATATGCAGCTTCTTTGAACTTCCTTTTGAACCAGTGTTCCTTCTTGTGGATGATATCGGCTAGGGATCACTTGACAAAATGCTTCGAATTAAGCTACTCAAAACTTGTCCAAAACTTGTCAAACTCTAGACTCTTATCGACATTTTTAATAACTGGAAGAAATATGTTGGTCAAACCAAACGGACTATATCACCTCGCTACAAGGAACATGTTTCGCATGGACTGGAAGAATCTAGTTTGACTCAACATGCCATAGAGAACGACCATACAATAAGTGAGAAATGTTTAAAATTGTTGACCGGTACATGACAACAGGTTCCTGGATGCCTTCGAAAACTTGGAAATCGAAAAGTGCGTGTCTATTTGTCACGCATCTTGGGAAACTCCAGAGAAAGATGGGGTTTTCTGCACAGTTTCGTTGATTATAGAAAAATCCAGGACCATCTCACCAACACCTTTGAGCCCAATAGAGGCTCTGGTTTCTATTTCGACGTCCATGGAGGAGTTCTCTTCGGAATTGGCCGTCTCATTTTTTCTGGTGATTACCATATTCAAACTGCAATACTTCAGATTTTGAGAAAAGCTTATTTTCGTTTTATTGTCTGACATTCACGACATGAGTCAGATTTGAGATGACAGTACAGACAAAGTGACAGTGTTCCAACTTGATTAATCTTGGGGAGACTACCTATACATCGGAACCACCAAAAGACTCATGAAAGTAAGGCTGAAGGAGCAAGAAATAAACTGCAGACTGGGCCGAACGGACAAGTCGGCTGTGTCGGAACATTCACTCAGTGGAGGAAATCACCGGATTCGACATTTATCGACATTTTTAATAACTGAAAGAAATATGTTGGTCGAACCAAACGGACTATATCACCTCGCTACAAGGAACATGTTTCGCATGGACTGGAAGAATCTAGTTTGGCTTAACATGCCATAGAGAACGACCATAGAATAAGTGAGAAATGTTTAAAATTGTTGACCGGTACATGACAACAGGTTCCTGGATGCCTTCGAAAACTTGGAAATCGAATAGTGCGGAATGAGTTCTATGAATAGCGACAAAGGTTCTCTTTCGAACAGTCCACTGTTTGGTGTTATGGGTAAAAATTATGAATAAAATACCGGTAAATATTAAAGATGATCACTAACATAGAGGAAATACGTAACAAATTAGACAAGAAACCAGCAAATCAGAAATAGTGGGTGGAACACTGGTTTAATAGGAAGTTCATAGAAGTTGATCTAACAACGTCTACCAAAGAAAAGTTAAAAAAATCTTTGATTCAATAGAGGTTATGATGAGTTAAGTTGACAAACATAAGGCATTTGTCATGAATCCACAACCACCCAAACTCTACCCATTCATCAAATTACATAACACCTGTGATCTCATTTATAACTGCTCCACCTGTGAAAGTTTCGTAAATGCTCATGAGATTGATTAAATCCAATTCAATCCATACCACGATTAACTCTAAATAATACGTACTAATTAGTGGTTAACATTAAAACCACATCTTTTCTTTTGATGTTCAAAATGTATTTCCTAGTATTCAGCCAAGAGAAATGAGCGCCTCTCAGACAGAAACCATGTCCATCCAATAATTGAACAGAACTTTTAAATTTGCTAATGATTCGCCTATCTCAAAATTATTTTCAATTCAATGACAATATTTACTCTTTTATAAGGTATTCAACGAAAAGAAAACAAATAGTCAGAATAGATGAATATAGCAGCTTTCCTGATACGGTGACTCATGGTGTGCCATGGGGTTCAGTCCTTGGACCGCTGCTCTTCAACATATATTCAGATAGTTTCCCACTGATGAAGATCAAAAGTAGAATAATTGACACCGTAGATGATACCGTAATACTAAATTAGGCTAACTCCTGGAATGCATTGAAAAATATTGTTGAAGATGATTTCATCTACATAAAAAACTGGTTTAGATTCAATAAACTGCCGCTGATTGGCAGAAAAACTGAAAATCTACCTGTTATATCATATACTGATAATCGTTCGAATTTGGTTTCTTTAAGACTCGATAATTAAAGTTCTACCAAGGGTCGATATGAATTACCTTGGAATTACTATAGACAGGCATTCGAACTTGTACTTGCATATCAAAAATGTTACAGGAAAGTTCCTTGGCCTACTTTCAAGTTTCAAAGATTTGAGAGAATACCTTCCTATAATATATGTGAAGATGCTGTACTTCGCTCTCGTACAATCTCATCTCTCTTATGGGGTAATAGGTTGGGAAAGGGTATATTATTGTTTCTTGAGAAAACTTCAATGTCGTACAAATATGATAACCGAGAATATAATATAAAAGAATGAAATATCCTAGTGACAGTTTACTTCAAGAGTCAGAGGTTTTTGATATTCGTCAACTATATTGCCTGAAGATCATGGTTAATGACATAACGAGAGAAGAAAAAGAAAACAATTATCTTATGCCTAGAAGCAAAAAACGATAGGTCTGATGGATTGCACATACTTAGGCCCGAGATTATATGATTTTGTACCAGACTCATTGAAGAGTATAGGAAGTCTGAAACATCCAAATTCAAATTGAATCATGGATTGTCAGTACTCATAAGAGCTTTTTCACGTTAACCCAATAAATATAGTTAAACAAACTCCAAATATGACAACACATATTTCACAACACATGGAACTAAATAAACCTTAGAGGAGGCAACACAAATATAAATATTATCACTCTTCCATCTTGGCAGCTGACCAAATTTCAACCTTTTATGTTACTGAGAAATGTATGAACCAAATTCAATGCATCATTTTATATAGAGTTTGAATACAATTTTTACCGTAGTCTGGCCCAAGCAACCCATGTTGCTTCTGTGACTGAACTGCTTATTCACCTGTTTTTTCATGTACCGATATAATTGATTCATCTCTGTTTTTCACGGTGAATAACCATTATTGATATTACCTTTATTATTCTCAACCATACATATATTGTATCACTTTATGCAGGTAATGAAGAATTTGAAAGACTGCTTTCAGCTCAAGAAGGAGAAATGATCCTCCTTCATAAATGGAAAGAGCTGGTTGAAGGATTACTTCCACCTGCAGGAACCAGAGGAAGAAGATTCTGCTTCGCGGGGTCCAAAAATAAACAGGATATCGCTCATACGCAGTATACATTCCGACAACTTGATTACGTGGGGCTACTATTGAATAAAATGCTGAATGTTCGTCAAAATATTTTACAGGTAGGAGGTTCAAATTATAATAACGGTAACAACAATAATATGGTCTCTTGTGAGGAGATAACAAGTTGTTATATAATTTATATAAATGAACTCCTCTTTGCTTGATGATTACGCGGCTAAATATAGCCCTAAATTTTACCTAGTGATGTCCATAGACAATTTTCAACATTCAATGGCCTTTCTGAGTGTAATATTTTGATAATTACGATTTTATGATAATGAATAACAATGTTATGTGTTCGATCAATATTCACCAACTACCTTTATTACTGTGCTTATTGTAAATAATCTTATATGAATTTTTATAGGCTCGGAAAATAAGGTCCTGAGTTGAACTATTCAATAGCGTTATAAGTATTAGCATTTTGAAAGTAACAAATGTAACAGTTGAAGTTCTTGATGATTTTCAATGTTGAGTCACTCTAGATCTTTCAATATTCCAGAAATGTGATCATACTGACGTAATCCGTAGATGAAACGCAAGCAAAAAGTTTGATCTTTCTGGATTTTTTATTTATAGTTACCATCAAGACAAGGACCACATAAAATATCACAATAGATAAACTGTGGAAGAATAAGCGGTTTACAAAGAGTTTTTCGCAGTGCTGTAAAGAGTTTGAAGTGAGATGAAAGTTTTTTCGGTACATCTTTGATAGCAACTGCCAGATATTTATGTTTTTGGTTTAGTTTGTTATTTTGGGTAGTATTTTCGACTTCGTCATTTATTTTAAGATTATTAGAGTTGTTTTTTTCAAATATCATTTCATCAAAATTATTATTGAGCAAATTCTGACATCTCTGAGGTTTTCTTCAGGATTTTTGATAAATAACTGAGTATCATCGACACAGGCCTGAACATTACAACTGGTTACGGATTTGAGGATATCTGTGGTATGAACAATGAAAAACAGGGAACCGAAAACACTCCCTTGAGGCACTCCAGGTTCAATTTTGATTTAATCAGAGTTTCTTCCGTTTGGAATACTTTGTTTTCCATTCTTCGAATACGACCTAATTATTGCAAGTGAACTAACTATCAGTAGATCTTGAATATTTTAATTTGGAGAATCTAAAGGTGTTAAAACACTAATATTTCTTTCATTCAGATGAGCAATTACTATATAGCCTTTACCGTGTCTTTAGAATCCGTATACCGAATATAAAACCATATATTTGATTCCCGGGGGAAAAGTTGACCTGTAGTTTGTAGCATATCGAGCTTATTTTAGATTTCNGGTAAGACCTCGTTAATCCTTAGCTCGCACAAGTTTCGACTTCTGAGGGTTGTTGTTCGTAGGGGTGCGACAGCTGGTTAACGGAAAAACAGATTTTAAACAGATTTTTAAACAGATTTTTATGTAATGTCAATAATGTTACAGGGTTGGATTACATAATTGAAAATCTTTGCGAATAAGGTGTCGCCGCACTTCTATTCCCATTTGAACATTTTCATTTTTATGGTGATGGGGTGACTGACAAGGGTGACAATTTTTTTTCAGCTTATGAATAATAAATTGATCATTCAGGAAGGATCTGAAATGCACTGTTGCATCCATGACTGACAGATATGTTGATTGATCATTTCACTTAAACAAACCATAAATTCTTTGTATTTAACATATTTGTGCAACTTCTGGGAACCGAGAGAAATCGAGTTATAATACATGTTAAGGTGATATTTCCAAGGTGCTCTTGCCTTGATTGTCCTCCTAAGTTAACTAATGATGATTTGGGTGGAATAGAAACAGTGATAGTTGGGTGAAACTCATAATAGCACTTTGCACTCCACAATAATGTGGTTCTGCGGGGCTCTTTATAGTTCAGAATGTCAAACCAAAAGTTGAAGATATTCAACTCATCAATCAAACATACTAATTGAAAATAGTTCAAATACTACGGTTCATCTCTATATAAATATAAAAGAATTTGAACTTTTTGAAAATAAATTGGATAGAAATAAGTGGATGCTAAAACTATACTGCCATCGTTGGAGATTTTATCGGGATATTCCTCTGAAATATAGTACTACTATACTACTAGACGAATAAATGTACTACTACTACTCAGATATCGTAAAGTACCGGAAACTCAAAAACTATGAATCCCATAAAATAACTGTAATAGAGTTAGACATAATTTTGATTGAGATGAGAATGAGAGTTTTTCCAAAATTCGTCTGCTGAATTCCTTCGAAGTTAAAGTATTGTACAACAATTGAATGTTCTCAGGTTGACCAAACCACTTGGGACGATACATTCCAGCCCAATCACTACCAACATGACCATCCCCTCGAAGATATTATATTCATTCTTGTTACCATCATGGATCAAGCAAGAGACCAGTACCTATCGTCTCAAACAAATCCAGCTATATTAAAAAACCGTTTGAAAATCAAAAGTAACTATAACACGTATACCTCCAAGCTTGTGGATCTCATGAGAAAGGACAAGGATCTCTCAACCTTCAACTGCGACGAAGACTTGGTCCTGGTGAAAACCATCCTCAAGTGGTTGTACCGAGGTATGGACGCGAGCAAAAAGTGTCTTGGTCCAATTCTGAGGCCGTACCTGAATAATCTATTCTCCACATCTCACGCAGTTTCTTGGCACATGGATTCCATCAAAGAGAGAATGAGTACAGATGAAATGTCAGCACTGGGATCATTTGCTGACATGGTCAACTCTGGGAAAATTACACCAGCGCAGGGACTCATTGACTCCGTCAACAAAAACTGGACTTGGGCTAAGAATATGTTGTCTATGGTAGAAAAAAACACATTGAGAGTTGTTTTTGTGTCTGGAAGAGGACAAGTATATAGACACATTCTTTCTCTCCCTTCTTACCAGAAAAAAGATATCCAGACTGGGAGTAAGACTATGGAATCACCAAATGAAATGATGCCTATATCGAGACAACGGACCTTGCCTAACCGAAGTTACTTCAATTCCATTTTGAATGAAAGTAAGTTTGTTATTTTCAGAAATATTTTCTATGACTATAAATTTTCAGATTTTTTGGAATCTGAATCTAAAAATGCCAAGAACCAAGTTGACTGTGGGGCGCAGCATATCAAATAGCGAACTGAAATATTATTTCATACTCTCAATCGATATAGAATAAATCTTTTGAAAACACTCCTCTCACACCAGAACAAAAATACTGTCTCTCGACCGCGTTTCGCTAACCAAGTTAGCATCAACAGGGCATGACTGAACATTCCGTCAGAGGAACCAATTTTATTCATCATGTTTTAAAATTTTTCAGATTTTTCGAAGTGAGGTGCTTAAACAGTGTGACCCACTTGAAAGCGGGACACCTCCCTGAAATTTGCATATTTTCTCCGATTTCGAAGAACTTCTTTTTGAATTAAAGACTTCAAAAAACTGTACTTTGGAACTAAATATAATTTTTTCCCCAAAAACCAAGGCCTGCTACGAATATTTTTATAGCTTGAAATACAAGAAATCGTAATAGCGATTTTTTTAGAAAAAATTTAAAATTTACATTAGACTGGGCACACTCTCAAATGGTGGTATACCGACCAAATTTCATCAGAAAATAAACAACATTCACATTGTATCCTGATAGAATGTGCACACTTCCAATTGGTTTTTAAATCTTGGTGAGTTGGCCGTGAAACACAGTGCAGATATGCAAAATGTGCTCTTTTCAATTGGCACTGGAAACAAAAAACTACTGTTGATTATTATTGCTGTATTGAAACAGTAAGGTCAGATTATGCCCGATTAGTAGTTGAACTATTTTGTGAAGCGGTAGTAGTTTGTGATTTATCATTGAAGAACTAAGTTTGCGAGATAAAATTGAACTTGTGCGCCTTGTTGGAGATAATGCTCTGTCGGCAAGAGAAGATGCCAGAGAATTTCATAACAGACATCCTGATAATCTTCCAGTGAGCAGCAGTACGGTGAACTGTATAAATTCTGTTTTCAACGAAACAGGTTGTGTATCGAGGCATATGTCCAAAAACAAAACAATCCACATCGTGAGAATAAAAATGGTGTGCGAGCGAATATTGCAATATTTTCGTGATAATCCTCAATCAAGCTAGTTTGAACTCAAATATTCCTAGAGAAAATATCAGGAGTACCTTGTAAAAAATGAAATTAAAGTATTCAACCCAAAAATTGTACACACTCTGGAACTAGGAGATGAAAAAAGAAGGTTAAAATTTTGTTTGTATGCACAAGGACAATATTTGAATGATATAAAGTTCTTCAAAACAATTTTGTTCAGTGATTAAGCCTACATTCATTACAAATGGAGTAGTCTCGTCCCAAAATCCAAGGTACTGGTCTGCAAATAATCCTAATTGGGTTATAAACGCAAAAAGAAAATATTCTGATAAAATAAATATGTGGTGTGGAATAATTCACGATGAGATTATCGGTCCTTTTTTCTTCGAAAGTAATCCGAATGAGATTATATTTTTTGAAGTTTAGAGAAATGAGTTTTGGGACGCGATACATGTCTTAACAGTGCATGATCGCCTGAATTTGAAGTTCCAATTAGATGGGTCTTCTGTACATAATGCAGTTTTTGAAAGAGAATGAGTGACTAATAATTATGGAAGTCGATGAATCGATCGGAATAGTCCTTACATTGACTGGCCGTTAAAATAACCGGACCTAACACCGGTAGACTTTTTTGAAGTACTGTGAAGCAAAAGGCGTATAACTCCAGATCGCAGTCAGTAGAAGAACTACGCATCATCTTGTGCAGAAATTACAACAGAACAACTGAGAAAAGTTATTTTGAATATTGGAAGAAAGTATGACAAGTACATTTCAATGAATAGCTACGATTTCTTCTTCGAAATCGAAGAAAAGATGCAAATTTTAGGAAAGTATCCACTCTATGTAACCTAAAAACGTCAATTTTTTATGTTTTTCTATACGAATTCAATATAATCCCACCAAAAACCCAAAATATGCCAATCAGAAATATCCAACTTCAAAATATTTATAATTCAAGTCAATTCACCCTGACTGATTAGCTCAGAAATACCTACAATGAAGAGAGACAGAGATTTTTCATATATTCATTCTAGATACTCATAATTATATAACTACCTACAATGAAGAGAGATAGAGATTTTTCATATATTCATTCTAGATACTCATAATTATTTAACTGAGTGAACAGAAAGGCAGCGTCCAAAAAGAATTTTGAAAATTGGAAGCTCGATTTGAGGTGATATTGAATAACTTTTGACCTTTACGAATTCTTTGCAGATTACGCACTGTGAAAACAAGTTTTTCGTCAAAAAACTTCTCAGTCGTTTTCGAAGGGTCACGAGAAAAACTAAAGCATGCCAAATTATTTTTCTTTGACAACTCCAATTGATCCATAACAAGCCTTCTTTCGAACACCAGAACTACAATATTCTTTTCCATCAACCACGTTGGTGTTTTCCGTAGATGGAGAAAACTACTCAAAGGTAGAGGACTTCAGTTCGACTTTCAACAACAGATCCGCGAATGTTAGGTTCACATTTGAAATTAAAAACAACCAGGAGTCACCATTCTTGGATGTCTTAGCGATTACAAGAACCAAGGTGTAGAATTTGATGTCCACAGAAAGAACTTGTAACAGTACTTTTAGACATATTTTGATTGTACTAATTGACATATTCCTGATAGCCCACATAATTGTTCACATCACAAAATGGCAGGTCTGAACTTTCTTGTTCATTGAATTTTAACGTTCCTCTTGAGTAAAGAAAGTTACGATATTGAGAAACTGAGCGATCATCAATATGGAGAGTCAAGAGCTGTTGCGCTTGATATTTCTAAGGCCTTTGACCGTGTGTGGCATAAAGGTTTGCTGGCCAAACTTCGATGCTATGGCTTGTCGAACTATTTTTGTGTATGGCTCCTCAGCTTCCTTAAAGAACGTTCCCTGCAAATGGCCATTGATTGATATCTCTGGAATACTTTCACCATCACCGCTGATGTTCCCCTGGGATCCATATTGACTCCAACGACTCATTTTGAAAAACCAAGAATCCTATATATTGCTTTGCTGATGACATCATACTTGTCTCATTACATTTGGATTCAGGCAGCAGGAGGTTCAATATCCTAATGAGGATCTACAAGTGATTTCGAATTGGGCTGAAAGTAACCAAGTACAATTCAATGCCTCAAAAAATCTTTCTGCTTTGATAAGTTTGTTGGGGATTAAAATGGACACCAATATGTCTTGGCACAATCATGTCGCTGGAATTGCAAAAGCTGCTTCTCAAAAGCTTGGAAGACTGTTCCAAACCAGAAAACTGTACATACCTTAGTAACTTTCGATGCTTTATAAAGCTCAGATCAGACCTTCCTTGGAGTATTGTCCTCATGTATGTAGCTCCGCCTTCAAACATACCCTGAACCTGCTGCATTCCATCCAGAAAAGAGCCATCCGCGAACATCACTTGCAATCTTGATAGTCCGGAACATCGAAGAAAGGTTAGAGATTCGTTTCTTTTCTATAGATACACGGAAAATGTTCAAGTTACCTGGCACATTTGTTTCCACCAAGAGCGTTACATATCAGAAATACGCGACGAACTGTGGCTGCTCGTCGTTTCGAAGTTCAATTTGAACTTCACTGTTAAAAACTACCATTGGAGAACGGCATTTATATGGAATAAACTTCCTTAGAACGTTTTTCCAAATGGATTTGATCTCCAGCGTACCTGTACTTTCGTACAAGCATCGCTCTAATAGCGCCTCAATAAATATATAGTTTCACGAGAAAATTTTCCGCAAATTTCTACTCAAATTTAGTAATGTGTGTCGGAAAGTGAAAGTGTACCCAATTATCTATGAATAGACGCCTGAAGACGCGAAATTGATTGATAGAACGCGCGTCGGGATTAGTATTACAGTTCTGGTGTTTGGGGAAAGTGCTTGTTTTGGATTTATTCTACGCCAGAGGTTCCAGGTTTTCAGCTCTATCTTTTGCTGATTTCAATTGAAAAAACTCACAATGCTTCAGTAGCCTGAAGCTTTTTCAACTATGAATTGTTAAATAAGAGAATACCGTTTCTGCCTTCAGGAAGGATGAAATGTAATTTCATAGCGATATTTCAATTCATAAAATAATTGATTTTATTTTTTCTCAGAATCGAAAGACGATAATGAAGATATTATTCCCCAATATGATTGTCTGCGAAATGCCAGTCCACTGAATATGATATGTGACCAAAAGCACAGAAGAGGGGAACATAGAGGAGGAGGTGACATCTTCAAGGCACTTGCCTCGATGCAGAAACTGAGCGTAAGTAACTAATTCTTGTTGCATAAAAAAGCATAACACGGTTCTATTGTCAAATAGTCCAATTATATTTTCTATAGTATTATTTAGTGTCATTCCTTCAGAAGAATATTGATTGGAACAATAAAAACGCCAATATAGTTTCCTCTTGAGTAAAATTGGATTCGTTGGCTCAAATTGGCCAATTCTTCTGAAAGAATAACAATCAGATTCATTAGATCTCACATCAAAACTCACTTTATAATTTGTTTGAAATTTAGTCATCAATTTCGGATGTGAACAAACTAGAGTTGCAAAGTTTAGGACATTATTTGAAGGGGAGTCGGCAGATAGGTGTGAGGTGGATACACTTTGCTGGTCACATCTCTCCAGGTTCACAATTATGGTATTCTCATATGATATTTTTTCTCTGGATCTCGTTTGGAAGTGATCGTGATTTTTGCAAGTGAAATTTTCATCTACAATTTGTGATACCAATATTTTTTGGTATTTTTTTTTCTTTTTTTTTTCATTTTCTAAATACCTCCTTTGCTAATTATTGAAACAATTTTGTCCAGGCTGCAAAATTATTTCTCCACTTCACTCCAGTCACTCTTGTAGACTTTCTGATATCAACGTGTTTGTATTGACTGATATTTGCTGTAGCTGAATGTTAAAAAAATTAAAATTTGATGGAGTTCTGACCTACGACTGCCTTTGAGTAGATGCTGGTTCCTAGTTCCAAGAAATGACTACATTCGCTAGAATAACACCTTTGAATGGGATCTAAGGTTCCTCTTTGATAGACGTATCAATTTTCCACATCCGTGACGTTAACACGTTAAATGAGATTATCTTCAGCCCGCTGCCATATCTTCAGTTTTGGTTTTGAATGAATTTGTTTCCGTATGTTGAACTCAACTCTAGTTACTATACTTTTAAATGTTTATTTATTTGCATGAGATATTTCATCTGAATAGTTTTCATTAAATTCATCTACAAATCCACTGAACTTCTTTCACCCACAAATTTGTTGAGATAAGTGTCACAATTTGTTTTGAATACCTTGAAAAAGCTCATCACTATCAACCTAGTTACTCATCAACTTTTCAGGTGTTTCATGAAGTGGCGATGTCTTTGCCACCAGAAGACCGTGTTCAACTTGCCGATCTGATCCATAGCATCCAGACAACGAAGTCTAAAAAATCTACTAATAAAAGATGGTCAGGAACTCTTCCTCAAGTCAACCAAAAGAGCAGAGTGGGTACCACCACTGAAACTATTCAGAAGTATACTCCAACAGAGGAGAGCGCTGGGATAAAAATAGCGGGGAAAGAAGTTGGAAAGAAAGACGAGGTGTCCGCTGTTAGTTCTAGCAGCCTCCTCAATACTTGTAGAGCAGCTAGAATGAAGGAAGACAGCGGCGTATTTTATTTACATGACAGTTTCAAGATAAAATCCTTACTGGGAAAAAGTGATTCCTTCAAGTATTGAAATACATTAGAGATTTTTTATTTGGTCCTAGTTGATACAAATATGAGATCAATTATTAAAATAAATAAGTATAAGTGTACAAGTGATAGTTTGATATCTTCCTATTTGTAGTTTATACAGGGTATCTCTTATAATTTGATATTATGCAAAATTTTTGTAATGATTTGAGATAGTTGTAATGAACGTATTCAGTACAAATTATTGTTACTGAAATCGTGATTGATCATGACGAATAAAATTCAAGAGAACTGTCGAAACTTGTTTGATAATAAATAATAAATGAGTTCAGGTTTTGAGTTCATACATAGATAGAAACCTCGTAGAATAATCGTACCAAAAAAAATTTAATCCTTCAAGATGTCATCTGGTGTAAATGGTTTAAATTCGATAAAATTGTTATTATCATCCTTTTTGATAATTATGATACTAAGACATTATGAACGTTTTTGAGGTGAGATAGAGGTATATTGCCTGGACGACTTCAGTAGTCACCAAGTGTGAGTGGCTTTAAGATAGAAAAAATATTTCAAATCTAAATTATAGAAAGTATAGAAAGCTAAGTCACAAAAACTGATATTTGTCATAGTTTTATTTAATGGAACTCGCCATATATTTCAACTCAACTGATTTTCTTGAGAAGAATTGATTCGAAAAATATGAGCTCAATGGTGTTTATACTGGATGATTTGAATTCATGTCAAGAAATGTGTCCACTTGACTACGCATGTACTAACTATTACTACTTACTCAATGATTGATATTAGATATAGTTTTATATTTTAGAAATGAACAGCTCATTTAATTATTGGACCTGCAATGAAATTAAATTTTCTGAGTTCATGTTGGCATGACTGATAGACACAGCTGACAGTACTACTCAACAAAAAAAACCCTGATTGGGTCAGAGAAGCTAATAACCAAAACAAATGATAGACTGACCTTAAAGAAGGCATAATTAAGGATCAGGTCAAGGTACCTACTTTTTAATGAACTACTGAATATATTTCCAACTTAACGGCGCGACTCTTCACAATGAATATCAAGTGATAAGGATTTTAAGATTTTGAACTATTATCAAAGAAATAAACGGATCCATTCAGTGGCCAACACGATTCCCAGATCTCATGACTCTAGATTTCTATCTATGGAGGTATGTTATACTTGAGGTATATCATCAGTAACAAATTGGAACTGACAACATGAAAAAAAATTACATTCTAATGTTTATCGAAGGAATACCAATAAGTATCATTTCAATTCAAATCATCAGAAAAGTATCAAAAAGGATACCTTTATAATAGATATATCCACTAGTATGTAATTCCATAGTCCTATCATGATAAATATCAACAAATAAATCTCTCTTTCGTGTCCCCAGAGAAAATCAATATGATATTCAGATCGTGGAATGAATTATAGGAGAGGTAGAAAATTGTAGTTTGTTGGCTCAGGACATCAGGCCAATATTCATGCTGTCAAGGAAAGAATATTTAGCAATTGAATAGAATTCATTAGTTTGGTTCTTCATAGAAATAGCACAGAATTGGATCGAAAAATTTATGTATTTCATATGTGTTCTTGTGGTAACTATAAAGTGCATTTCTTCCCATTTTATTTTTTGAACTGGTCAGCTCAAAAAATTTGAAATTTGGAATAATGAAATTAATGCATGAATACTTTATTTTGAAGTGAAATTGACAGATGAAACTTTCAAGATGGCGACTGGGGGTGTTGTGACACATCATTTTGAAGCTCCTGATGAATAATTCACAACTTCAATATCTAGTACTACAAAATGGCGGAATATTCAATAATTTCCTGAAGACAAATACAATAACATCGATATTTCTGGCAATATTCCATTTTATCTGCCATATGGCAATTCCAACAAACCGAAAAGGTTTGTTAAGTTATTTTTTTGTTTATAAAAACGACAAAAAATGTCAGAACGACAATGAACATCATTGTTCAGTTAGAATATTCTCTTTTAGTTTTCCGTTTTACTAGTAGAAAGGTACAACGTCAACAATCTCTAAAATGGTCAATTATCGTCCATTGGAAGAAAACATTGAAGCGATTTTTATTTACGATGCGGCGCGTAACTTTCACGAGACCGAGAGAATTTTCAATGAATGTTTCCGAATCGTCCTATCTGTAGAAAATATTTGAGGAANTAGAAAGTTTTATTTCTCACTTGAAACATTTTTTCAAGTGCTTAAGAAGCACTTTGAAAGGGCCAAACTTGTAGAGCGAAAATAAAGTGAGTTGTGAAGTGATAACGATTATTTTCAATTGGGGCGATAATAATAGGGTGACTTTCTGATTTTTTTTTTCCTAAAAAAGTGGGCACCAACATCATTTCCGTCATAATTATCCTCTAGGTTTTGAATATTTTGAACTTTTCTAGGAACTTCAATTATTGAGTTTGTTATGTTTGTTATGTATATTATGTATGTTATGAGTTTGTTTAGAAAAATGATTTGTTTTTTGGTCATTTCACAATTTGACATTCAACGAATGAGAACCGACTTTCAAAAAGCTATCACTTCATTTGTATTAGGTTTACAGATACTATAAACTAACAATTTTCTGGTTTTTCTATTACTAATTGTTGATAAAATACTCTTTGGGTTATTCGCTTACAACCGTTTGAATGTGTGGGTTCATTAATTGAAAAATTGATACTTTCACTCACGATAACGTCGAAAAGTATTGACTTTTTGAAAAACTCCATGCAATAAAAGTTGTTTGGAATTACTTGATCTATCTATTTCCACTCTCATTTTCAATGAAACATTTTCCACCCTCGAGAAGGAGGATGGAAGATTAAAAACGACCTATGACACAGGACCAACTTTGAATTAAATGGTAAATAGAAAGTAGGTTCAAATTTTTTTATGAATATCATTGCTGGCAAAATTATACGAAAAAGAAGTCATTGGCTGAACTGATGGTATAATTGCTGACGCCGGACCTGCCTTTCCATCGCTTACACTAGCCCTGGGCCATTCTGATTATTTAATCCTCATTTCTATTGTACAAACCCACCACCAACAGGCACGCTACCCGGTGATCCACAATCACCACGTCTGCTCAAAAGATGGACCGACCCTGTATTCCCATCCCGGAATCAATGGCGATTTGCGACGTCGCACCACGCGAGGCATCTCTCGCAGCATCCCCCACAGTATCGGCGAGGTGTGTCGTGCTAAAAACAACGTCGAGCACAACTTTTACCCTCTGAATCCATTTGGATATCCGGAAGTGGGTCTCTCGGTTGCAGAAGCGAAATTATGGGTTAGGAGCACGCGGTACATTTGACGATGACGGGGTTCTTTCGCTCTTGAAAGGGGTAAGTTTATTGTCTCTGACAGTTTTTGTTCTCAACTCTGCACGATTCGAAGTAGATTATATCCTCTGTTAAATGAAATATCGTTTTTATGTTCGTTTTGAAGCGCCATGTGAAACTAGAAAGTATTTCAAGGTTACATGAGAGTGGACATCAAAATTTGTGGTCTTATTTTGCATTTTGTTTTGATTTGTCACAAACTAGTCCAATTGGCATTCAAATTAGGTAATTCGGATTACATTAACTCGTTGCATCATATCATTTTTATAGTACAATTATTAAGTGCGGACGTGAATCGCCTTCCCTTCCTTGACTTTTGAAAGGGGCAAAATTGATATGAAAAGAAATCATCTTTAGTATTCTTTGGAAAGAAAGCCACAAAAAAGGAGCTATAAACTTTTATTTTTGAATATAAAGGGACTATTGTGATCCTTTACTGAAAAGGTATTTCAATTCTCTATACAATGACATTTACTGTTTTGGATTCGGATAACCAGTTTCAGAATTATTGTATGATTTGAAGACTAGGAAAATTGATAATTAAGAAACAAGAATTGAAACTTTCTATGTTTTTTACCACTTTTATTTGTAACTAACGTTACTGCAGTTTCGTCCTATATACCCTGTAGGTAATAATATATTGGTAAAAAACATTGAAAGTTTCAATTCTCTTTTNTTAATAATTATAGGGATTTTTTTATTAACTTTCAATTCAGAAAAAGTTATTAATTAATAAATTTATAATTAAGGTTAAAAATGGGATAAAAATTTTTTGACTGCGGATAATTGTTTATTGATGTATCCCAACATTACATGAATTTTTTCATTCGTTAATATTCACATTTATTAGTTCAAATAATTTTTTTTGTTATGTCAGAGTGACGAAAGGCGCGCGGAAGCCAGACTACCCGCCTTTGGCTCTATTTTCAGGGCTTTGTGAAAATTATAAATAAACGAGATACAGTTTCGGGAGTCGGAACTTTTTTTACCCAAATTCATTGATCTTTTCAAATCTTTTTTTCAAATTTCCAATATTTTGAAAATTTTCCGAGATATTAAGAAAAAACTGAAGCCCCATTTTTTTTTCACTCAATTGTTTATAACTTTTGTAATTTTTATCGGCGCGTTTTCTAACCTTTCCTTAAACTTTCTAGGCAAAAATACTAATCGAATGACACCTTGGTCGTAATTTTTGGACAGGGCTGAAAAATGTTACAAAAAAAAGTACATGTGAACTAGACTATGAGTTAAATATCGCAGATAACACAAGGGAAGGAAATTCTTCACAATAAAATTGAACAAAATATTTGACAAAATGTGCATTTCTGTATTCAATCCGATTCAGGATTTTTTGATATACTAGTTAGATATGAATCCATACCGTGTAACAGTAGCAGAGAGTATTGTGTTAGTTTGACAGCTGTCAGTATTGATACTGAGAATTCATTTCATTTAAATTTATCAAAATAATTCGCGCCAGAGAAAAAAAACGAAGCAATTTTCATTGAAGCCGAGACCGGCCGTAACTTTCATGGAGTAGAAAGGCTGTTCAATGCAAGATTTCCTGATGATCCGATCAACTGGAAATATATCAGAAAATAGGTTGAAGTGGAAGTATAACTAGAGCTAGATGAGCTAAAAAGAATCTATACGGAACGAGACCCAGAAACCGTTCAAATCGATACATCTGTAGTGAAAAACCCCTTGCAATCCAAGTGAGAATGTGGGTTCAATAACCACCATCAAGAAATATTTCAGAAGACATTAGTTTTACCTTTATAAACTAAATATATCATATATGTTTGATCTGAACATATGAATGAAATGAAGATGACTCTGATAGAAGAATACAGTTTTGTGAGTTGATGTCTGAACCCCTGATTGCAAGCCGGAACTGCATAAAA